ATATTTTTCTTATCTGTATATTTTTCTTATCTGTTATGTAAATAAAACACATTTCCTGTGAAACAGATACGGGGAAGATAGTTCATTATTTATACCTTTTAATCTATAATCAAACACTTGAATAAATCAAAACAAACACATGAGACTGTTCTTACCTATCCGAGATGCCACAGGAGTCTATCTGGAGGTCACTGAAGTTTCCGAGAGACCCCTGCTGAACTGCAATCAGATCTACCACTTCATTACCGATGGAAATAAGTCTCATACATCCCTGGAATCCTCCAAGCAGGCTTTTACACTTTGATGCGAAGCTTTTTTCAGGACAACCTGATAGAAACAGAAAAAACCATAACCAAATACACCCCTAATGATTGGAGGCTCATAATCACAGAAGAATTCAGTAAGAAAAAAAAAATAAAGAGAAATAGATATTTAATTATCTTCTGCACTATAGGAGAAGAAATAAACTAACTACAATCATTATTACCTTGATCTAAAATACAAATTCCAATTCCTAAAGAGTATATTTTCTTTATTACCATTGGATTCACAGGTGTTATAGTAATTATCTACAAATGCAAGAACATGATACAAAGTTTAGAAACATACACATTAGGTTGAGTCCTGACAAGCTGGGCAGAAATATTAAGTTAAATGTGACTTAACCTGGGAACATAGCTTTTGGAGAGTGAAAAAGCTAAGAACATAAAGGGTGAAAATATGCAGCATATGAAATAAAAGACAATGGAAATGATGAAACTACCTGCAAAGAGAGACATATTGGCTTAAAATAAAGTATTTATTGAATTAAATATTTTCTTATACATTTAAAAGGCACATATACGTGCATTTTAATAAATACACAAGGCTAAATATCAAAAATATTTCATAGTTTGATTTTATTCATTCTTTGCCTCAGACAAGACTATTCTCTTTATTGATTTTTATACTATTTAAGATTTCTTTTAGGGGCCAACGAGAGAGCTCAGCAGCCTAAAGCACCTGCTTAGACGAGTTTAGGCAAGCGCTCAGGGCCCGTGGTTCAATCCCCAGCACCACATGCCCCTAGGGTGGGCTAAGCTGGCCACAAAAATGTCTTTTAATTATTTACATAATAAAGAAGTATAATATTTACCATTACTGTCTAATTTTAATGGCGTTCTAAATGTTTATCCAAGTGAAATAAATAATTTTATGGAGTATGAACACATATATTATCCTTACATATTTTTCATTAATCTTTCTTTGCTGCTATGGTTGTCAACCACTATTGCAATTTCAAAGAATATCAAATAAGTCAGAAGATTCTTAATTCCTTATAATCCATATCTGTTTTCTACCTGGGAGTTTCTATTATAATTAAATAGTTTGACTGAGGATATTTCTCCTTACTGCTTTGTATTCCCAACAAAACACATTTACATGGCAAGTAAAATCCAGTGTTACTTAAAACTATGAAGCATATTAAAATATTCTAATTTAAGCTAACGGAGACTTTGAAGTTTCCAATTTCATATATCAAAAAATTAATCAAAGCTTTTGGAGTATTTACTTATGCATAATAATACACATGTTTCCAGTACTCATAATACTTCTATACTAACGGGCAGAGCTACCATAATCTCGATGTATTTTTAAGATTACTTATTCACCAATCAAAAATACAAAGATAAAAATGAAACAGATAATAGTTCAATCATATTGGGGGTCAACTACCATGTGGCAGCTACCTACTAATTTCATTTACTCTGGGCAGTGTTTCTTGACACATCTCAAACTATTTCAGAGTAAAATAAATTGAGAAATGTGCCCATAGGAAACAAAACCAAGCAAACTTGAAGCGTCAGTGAAAGGTCATGAAACTGTACCAAAAGCACAAGGTCAGGTCCTGAGGCAATTCATATTCTGAGCTACCATGTTCAATAAGCAAGAAATTCTAAGAACAAAGCGGAGTTCAACCAGGTTAGGCTCATTAGAGTGTGCTAACAGGCAGCCACAAGTGAATATAAAGCCGTACCAGAGAGAAGTTCAGCGCTGAACCCTTCTGAGATGAAAGTTCTAAAATAGGAAGATTTCTAGAGAATATTTAATGCTGAATTAATGGATGGCTCCATTACCAGAGGCAGTCAGTGTGTTAAACACCTCTGAGGATGACAGATAAATTATCACTCTATGTCACTGTATCAGAAGTGAGATGTCGGGTTAGACTTCATGGGAATATTGCCTGGTCACTGGACGGATAATCCTCACTTTACACACAGAGGAGGAAAGTGAGAATTCTGCACCTGGTTTAGTATCCCGACCTTGTGCTGCGTGGTGTGTGACGCACATTCCCAAGATTCCCCAGGGGAATTAACAGAAATTAGATGCTCAGTCATCCTCCATCTGGAGAAGCCAGATTTAAAAATGGTAACTTATAAATGATAAAACCTGAGCACCCTGCACTACAGTGCTGTCTGAATTTTTGAAAAGCAGTCATCTCAGGGAGGGAAAAAGTTAAGAAGCACAAAGTGATGGATGAAAAATGAAAGCTTTGTGCGGCAGATGCAGAGTACTGCTAGCCCCTGAGCCACTCCATCTTCCCATATGACAGTACTCTCAAGGCTGGCATGAAGGGCCGGCCAAATGGCTCAGTGAATTAAAGTGCCTGCAAGCAGGGGCAGGGGCTGATGTTTGATCCAGGGGCCTGCTGTCCCAACCCCACCCCTGGGACGCACTGAGACAGTGATTGAGATTGGATGTGGTGGCGCACACCTATAATCCCAGCACTTGGAAGGCTGTAAACAACAGAGTCACTAGACAGTGATTGAGACTGGGCATGGTGATGCATGCCTATTATCCCAGCCCTTGGAAGGCTGTAAACAGGAGAATCACTATGAGTCTGATCTAGTAGTGAGACCTTGTAGACCCTGTAGACCATTCCCTAAAATACAGAACAAAAAAAACACTGACATGAAGTGGAGATGGAATCCTGGCTGTTGGCACAGGCAGACCCTTGGCAGTGGGGCATCATGGCCAGGTAAGACTGCCTGTATCCTGCTAAGAGAGCTGGAAATATGCAGTTGAACTCAGAGAGGAGCAAAGGGGAACTGATGGGCAGGATCTCAAAACATGGATTTTTTTTTTTTTAACTTCAAGACAAACTGGCTGAAGAATTAAATGCCTGAAAACTGCCTTCCACTTAGATAAAACAAATCCCATCCATGAAACAATTCCCATCTGCACAAAACAAAAGATGTTCCATAGTAACCAGCTGCTGAAGTTTGCCCAGAATTTGGAGAGGAACACACGACTTGCAGCTCTAACCAAAGAATCCCTCACCCTCTGCCAATTCTACCCTCCAACCCAGGAGCTCTGTGCCAGTCTGTGTTTCAGAGGATGCTCCTCTAAGATTCCGCCATCCATTCTTGTGCTTGTAGCCCAAGAAAGCCTCACGGGGAGATACAGTGTACCTGCTGAGAAGCCTGTCCCCTAAATATCCCAGAATCTATAATTCCTAGCCCAAAAGGCCCAAGCGGATTTCCAAAGAGATGGATCTCAATTGGGTTCTTGAGTCACAAGACTGGTCTCTGTCTTGTGAAGATAGCCTAAATTTTGCAGGTTATGTATTTAAAAAAAAAACAAAAAACCTTGGGCGTGGAATTTTATGGTGGAAAGTACTACAGTATGCTGCTTAGCATTCTCTTAACAGACGGAAAATTATAAAGAGAAAAAAGGAAAAATGAACTACAAATTTGAGAGAGTACTTCGCTGGGGAGATCAAAGGGTGTGACCCTGGAGGGACACGACACACATGGATTGATCATCTACTGTTCCTTAAGCAGAGGTGTGTGAGTACAGATGTGCACTTAAAGGGCTCTAAACGACCTGAAAATGAGTTAGTGATATAAGCTGAGAACAACACAGCACACCAGAGAAGGAAGACGCAAGAGAACTCTATGTAGCTCTGCCCAAATTTGCAGTAAGCCCAGAACTATCCAAAATATTTTTAAATAATGTGGTATACAACATACACATCAAAATAAAGGATGGCAGAGTGCGTAGTCAATCTACTTCATGATAACATTTCAGCATGAATCAAAGCAATAACTAGAGGAAAACACTACACAAAGTTGCTAAGCATTGCTAAATCTGAACATGAAGGCTGTAAATTTTTTTGAGAACCATGACTCTATTTTCATGATTTACAAGCATTTTTATCCAGTCTTCTGTTTTTTTATTTTGTATCATTTGACAGAGTGTCTGGTTTCTTCCTCCTTATCTCTGTTTCTGCTCCTAAATATTTTCCTTTGAGGTGAGAACTCTTGGTTAAGCTGGTCCATATAGTTATTAAGACAGTGTGTTCTAGGTTGTCATAAAATTAGTCATATATTTTAAAAGAGTCTGATTCAGAAATGAACAAATCTTCAGTCAAGGAAGCAATTGTATCTTTTAAAATTGTAGACTTATGATGCCTTTTACAGTAATAGGTTGTGCAGGGTTTTTTACTGCTATTGATCAATTGTGTGTGTGTGTGTGTGTGTGTCTGTGTGTGTGTGTGTGTGTGTCTGTGTAGTGTGATGTACTAGGAATTGAACCTTGGAGCTTGGTGCTGAAGCACAACACTAGCTCCCTTTTTATTTCTGATCTTGAGACGGGGTCTCATTAAGATTCTGAGTTGTCCAGGTCGGACTCCAATTTACAATCCTCCTTCTTCAGCCTCCCAGATTAAAGGGATTGAAAGTGTGCTCTACCATGTTTGGCTGCTCCTTGACGTTTTAAATTCTGGTGAGCTGATTCACACGATATGTACTCATGATCAATTCTTAAATATAATTTGTGTCTCACTGGTGAATAATGAAGACTAGGTGGCTTAACTCAAATTAAAACAGGAGTTTAGACAGAAGTAACTGTTATCATACAATGGAATAACACAACAAAATGATAATGCAAGAAACGCACACATCTCGAAGGGAAGTGGCTTGCTACTAGAAAGTTTACCACTACGTTTCCGATAGCAAAGAACATCTTATTTTCATTTTCCAGTGACAGGTATTTGATTTCATTCCTCAAATTTTCTTTTCCAAGCGTTCAATCCAATCCACCGCCCATGAGATGAGGAATAGATTCATTTGTTCTCGTTCTCAAAAGGAAAGGGCGTGATACCGAAGGCTAATGTCCTGCTTTCATCAAGTGTATCAGTGCATTATCGCTTAGCAAAGAGATCACCACGGCTAATTAAGTTAAATTATTTGTGCACAGGTGTAATAGTGTCCTGCACCGGGCAGTGGAGCTACAGGGAGTGACCTGGAAGACACTGCAATAAAATCAACCAATAAAATCAGAAGACAATGTATAAGGGCTATTTAACATTAGCAAAATATAACAAGGCTTGAAGGTAAGAACTGAAGAAGGTGGCCGACTTAAAATAAATCTCATTACAGAAATCATGAACACAGGTAAGTTCACCTTCTAGAAACGTATTTTACGTTAGGATTCGTCATCTTGACCCACTCAACATTTCTGCGTTTAAAGAAAGTGAAAAATTATTCCTTTGGGTTAGCGTGGATGAAACAAAGCAGAAGGACTCTTCCCCAAGATGCGGGCACAGCAAAGGAAATTAAGGCCTAGCTGCCCATGTAGCTCGATCTTCTTTCTTACCTCCAAAATAGTAAGTGTCCCCTGAATAAATTTCAGGCGCCAGCAGAGGAGAAGTAGCGGTCACATGGCCGTCCACAAGCAAACTCAGGTGATTCCTTTTCGCATACAAGGCGACGGAATGCCACTGTCCATCATTTAGCCCTCCACCTGGGGGACAGAAACTCCTTCAGAAGACAGCTCAACTGCCTAAAGTATTTGCATCTGTGGCAGTTCTGCAATTATCGGTGGCTTGCAGTCTGAGACCCCTCATGGGGGCCAGAAACCGTGGGTGTGCTATTTTTTCCCTACACATACATACCCAGGATAACATTAATTTATAAGTTAAGGGCAGTAAGCGATGAACAACAGTAGTAGAATAATTGTAGCAACTTATTGTACTAACATTTATTTAAAACTGATGAATTATTTATTTCTGGAACGTCCTAGTATTTTTCAGACTACAATTGACCTGGGGTAACCGAAAGCACAGAAAGAAATGCCACTGCAAGCGAGACTGCTACATAGGTGGAAAAGAAACAGAAAGCAGACGAGGCAAGGGAGGCAAGTGGGAAATCAGCGCCTCTATGTACGAAGTGCTCCATTATTATCTTCCCTTCCCGGGACCTCAACAGAGAGGATAAGAGACGCCCAGACCTAGACAGCATTGAGTGGTTAAAATATTTCCATTATTTGCTGTAGACATAGATTTTCACCTTCCATCCATATAATTTACTTCTTGGAGGGGAGGAGTTTAGGAAGAGTATAGCTATCTCACCAAATTCTAGGTTATACCAAATACTTCTATGTAGTTACTTCTTAGGATATTATAAGCAGAATATTTAGCAAACTGTATCAGGGACAAAGAATCTGGGTTGCCCCAGGCGTGTGTCTCCTGCGAGGTCAAACAAGATAATGCTGTATTTTCCTGGTGAAGCTTTCAAACTAGAAATACATTTTTTGAAAAGTTTGTAACCGATTTCATTGTTTAAGTTAGTCACCAGGGATAGAGCTAAAGTGGTGTTTGGGGTTCCTACATGCACGGAGGCTGTCATATGTCTTTTGGAGAGAATACGCATGTTCAATAAGCTTAATTCACATGTGATTTAGAGTGCTGTTGGCCACAAATGCAATGTTAGTTAATCAACAAAATATTGCATACTAAAAAATGGTATATTCCAATAAATCACATACAGATTAAGCTTACACACTTATGGATTGAAAAAGTTTTGTTAACAATGGTTCACAGAAATGTAATGCTGTGTCTCCCTTAGAAATAATGGCTCAGGATT